AAATTTAATGAGACGAAACGCCCTCGCTAACGTTCACGCCAAGTGTTTTTGTGCAACGTCGAGGGCACGTGGATTTTGCATATTTCTGGAATCCGCTCGCGACACGTGACTGACCGAGCACGAGGAGTCGCACACAAAACCCGCAGGCACGAAACGGAAAATTGGACCTCTACTTTTCCTAGTAATGATATAATAACAATCATAGTTATTTATAACTTCAAACAACAATTTTGGTAAAAACCCACACAAAATATCTATTTTGCCTTATTAAATAAAAAAGTAGATGCAATAGAAGTGAATTTGTAAAAATTAAATTTATAGATCCACTCCGGTCATTTGTATTGCCCTTTATTCTAAAATATTGCTAAACTTCGTGTTTATCTTGTGAAAACACTGTGTGAAAATTTCAAACCGTTGCGTCTCAATCATAAGAAAATGTAATACAGTGATTCGCATTTTCACATACACTGATACAAAAATCCTGGTTTGTACCAAGGTTTTGGTCTGTACCTCTTGTTGCCAGTCATATTGCTAGTAGCGCACCACGCTACTCCCTTGATACATAACAGGAGAAACCCCTGGAACGTAACTCGCGTTTTGCCTGTAGTCCCCCACCTAAATAGCCTGTTTGTAACCATCGTTTTGCCTGTAGTCTACCATACTTTTTATATGGTTCATAACTTCTTATTTGGTTGGAGTTCACCATGATTTTACTTTTATTGAAATATTTGTTATTTCTGTTGGCTTTGAAAATATGTTAGAAATTATTTGCATCAGTGTTAAATTTATAATTTAAACTAAAATCTCTCAGCGTGAAAGATATGAAGTTAAAATTATAAATTGTATACAGATGCGAATTATTTCAAAACACCGACATATTTTCAAAAATAACAGAAATAAAAATATTTCAAAGTAAAATATGATGACAATTTTATAGTTCTCAAAAGTACTTAGCAAAATAGGTCGCACTAAAATTTTTAAAATTGACATAAATTTTCATTTTTACAAAGTAATTCTTTATTAAATAATTAAAATTAGGTCATTATAATACATAGCAAACACTTAATTTATTTATATAAGTCCATGAAATTTCTGGCTGTCCAGCGTCCACAGCAAATATTGTCCAGTATCTCGAAGTTATATGGGTGCCCTCTTCGGCTCTGTTGAGATTTGATGGACCTGCGTTGAAATTCAAATAATTAGTCAAATGGATCTCATCTCCGTAAAGGATTTGAGGTTAAAATAGAATGAAAAATTGCGTGTATGGAAATAAGAATGAGCCAACTGAGAAAATAGATCTAACTCTGCTGTTTATGCAAGCCCAATGGCATGTAAATTTGACCGAGATAGTATATTTTATTATTTATTATTAATTATTTACATACGAAAAATATTTCAATCATTTAGGCAAACTGTCTTATATTTTCTATAAAATATTAAAATAAAAACTCGCAAATTGAAATAATTGTGCTGTTTAAGATAAATATCTAAAGGAAAAATTTAATTAATTTTTGTTAGCCTCCGAGAGCAGACCTATTCTCTTTTAAGAATTATCATGCCAGAAAAAGAATTAAACGATTGAATTTAGGTTCAGAGTGAAGACGGAATTAATGCAGCAATTAATCCACTTACCAGTTCTCACAACGAGGCTCAATTGGGAAAAAATCACAGAAAGCTTCGCAATTGATCCAGCACTTCATCCGCCATCATCCACTTTTGCTCTAAACTCTAAACTGACAAAACGTGGTCGCAGACAAATGCACATCTAGAGATGCGCTTACCCTGACGCTGCTTTTTTCCCTGAGCGCGAGGGGAGACAATATTTGAAAGTTGGACGTAACCTGAAATTTTCCTGTAGTTCTACAGGCTAAGCGCGTGGTATAAATTCACTCCTCTCTGGAGCGTCACTTAACATGAAATCACTTGTAACTGCGATCGGTTACAGGCAAATTCCCTGGTATACTCCAAAATTTTTGTATCAGTGTAGTGTTTTCACAAGATATACTCAAAATTTAGCAATCTTTTGGAATAAAGGGCAATACAAATGACCGGAGTGAGTCTTTAACCTGTGCAAAAGAAAAAAATGCTCACTGGTGGATAATTTTATTTCTGTGAAATAAATAGAACGTTTGTTGAAGTATCGATTGGGCTCTTTTTGGTTTGCGCGAGCTCTTGAGGAAATTCCCCTGCCATCAAACCACCCTCACATCTCAATCGGCCGTGCTGGTCATTGTGTTTACCGGTGTGCAATTGAAAAAGCAGCTGCGAGAAAGGGAGCGAGCGGCAGGTACTTCATCACCAAGTCCCATTATTTTCCGCCGTCCTCTCTCATTACTCCCTTCTTTGTTTTGAATCATGCGCGACATCCAGATCTGCCTCTTTTCCTCTTCGCCGGCCGAGAAATTAGAGCGATTACAGCTCCCTCGTCTTTGTCCCCGAGAAAATATACCACTTCTGCCTGCCTTCCTTCCTTCCTTCCTTCGCACATTAAAAATTTATCGACTCGGAAATAAATAACAAGGCGCTTCTGTTTGAAAGAGGCGCGGCGATGACGCCGGGAGAAATTACTTAACACAGCTGCTGGGGAATTTATGTTTTGAGAGAGAGAAGAAGCTCATTGTCTTTGTGAAGTGCGCGCAGACTTTTCCCAGGTGGGTGATTTCCAAGCTGTAATTCTTTGTCTGCAAGTTTAACAAAATATTTACTGTTTACAAAAAAGTCATGTTTCTACTGAACAAATAAAAATGTGCACTGGCCTGAAATCATTCATGCAGCTTTTGAAATTGTGACAGTTTTTAAATTTCTATGGAAAGCCATTATAATTTAGAAATTTTCCATGAATATTTTTGCCAACCAGAGAAGTTATTAAAGTTTAAAAAAAATATGTGAATTTAAATATTTCTTTGACCAACGTTAAATTAAAATTAAAAATATTTACATCTCAAAGCTATCAAAAACTCATAATTACTGGCCAAATTTTTTGCAGGTCTTTGGCCAAGTTAAGAAATTTTAATTTTGATAAGGGTCTAAGAGAAACACTTGATTAATTGTTTCTAATAATTTATAATCAGCAATCAGGAGATTTATTTTTGAACAAAATTTCTTTCGGAAAAAATCAACACTTTTAAATTTGTTTTCCCTCAACTTCAAGAGCAAAAAACGATACTGGGAAGGTCCTCTAAATATTAATTTACTTCCCAGAATTTATTAGTTGCAAAAAATTAGGTCGCCGGTGGGAAATAAAGCGCAGCAATCTCACATTATTTGCAAAGCAAAAAAGAGGTGGTGACCGCGAAAAAAGCGAGGGGGCGAAATGCACGGACATTGTTTCAAATTGCACGCGGAGAGAGCGACATTGTAAGTCAATGGAGCGTGAGTCTGTGGCGCGCGGCACACATGGCTAACCGTATTTATTCAATATTTTTGTGCACTTGACAGCTCAATATGCGATGGATCCGGCACAAAAAGCGGCCACTTTTTTAAATTTTCAAACGCCATTAGACTTCGTTTGCAGATGCGCGCGCGAGAGTGGAGAGAGAAGTCCCTCGTCGAGAGCTAACTGCTCTTGTTTCCTCTTCCGTTTGCATTAGAGCAACGCGGCCGACAGCGAATTTTTTATTATTAAAAGAGAGAGAAAGAGAAAAGTGGACCGCTACAATATAAAATACAGCACCGAGGGGATGAAACGCGCGCGCGAGTGAGAGAGAGAGATGGAAAATTACAACGCTTTGTGCGCTGCAGTTTAACGACACGACTTTGATAATTAGGTTGTCCTTAGGCGCATTTTCCGCCGCTGCGGATGATGTGTGTGTAGGTAGGTATACACACGGCGAGTGTTTATCGTGTGTATGTGAGCAAAGCAAACAGGGCGGTGCATGTCCCCGAGCCCACCGCATAATAGTCTCTCTCTCCGAGCACAATTATCTGCAATTCCGCCACTGCCCGAAATTGCGTTAAAACTGCGCTGACGTTTTTTGTACGGTTAGTTGAAACCGCCAGTGTGGTGACGCGCGAACCGGGATGGAATTTCAGAGCCTTGTCGGCTGCATTTCACTCAAAATTTTACACAACTGACGGAACAAATTTAGAATTTTATTCAGTGAGGGTTTTGGTCATAATTATAATTACGAGGCCCTTCCGCATTTTTCCATAAAAAAGTTGTTTTTCGCGGAATAAGGGAAAATAATACAAATTAAGAAATGGCTTTGCATGTAATAATTAAAAAAATTAACAGAATAAATGAATTTGTTCAATGAAAATTATTCCGCTGAAACAAACAGTTTTTATATAGTATTAATTTAAATAAATTATTAAATTCAGAATTTTTAATTTAACACAAAAATAATCATAAAACACGGTCATTAGCAAGGAGCTTATGATGTCTACACTGAAATTAAAACTTCTCAATCTTTTAACATAATGTAAATTGTTGATGTCGGCTGACCAATTGATTTTATTTTTCCATATTGATTGGGATGATGAACGTGATTCGGTAAAATTTTAATCAATTTTGGTCACGCCAATAAAACACCCAATAAACATCTTTCTGAAAACTAAACTCACGTTGGTCTACATCAGATAAAACTTAATTAATTGCACTGAATGCGTGATGAAACAAGCACTGTCTGTGGAGGCTTATAGACACGTGATTACAACCAACGCAGCAAATTGTGTAATTCCCTCTTTATTTGTCCCGACTGAAATCTGGCGAGCGCTCTGTGCTCATGCGGAAATCAATTAGAAGCAAACGAATAAAACGCAATAATCGCCTCTAACTGCACACAGGCGGTACCTACGCTCATCGATTTTCGATTACAACCAACACGGCCGCGTCGCCGCTTCGTTTGCTTCCAATAGTTAAATTGTTTTTGCACGCGGCGTTGGATTATGTTGCGTGGGGCACCTCATGCGATCGATAAGTAGTCTAGATTTAAGCCGGCTGCATTAATAGAGAGGGGCCCGCAGGTGCGAGTGAAAGTTTCACTTGCTCGGGTGCTCACCTTGTAGCTGCTGAGATCGTCGACCACACAGGTGAGGGTCGCCTCCCGACCCACAGTGACCGTCACGTTCGGAATGGCTTCTGCGAATTTCGGCATGTCTGTGAACAACAAAATTAGAGGCCCATTATTACAATACACTAAACAATGTTCATCTGTAGATTGTGATTTTAGGCGGAGAATAATTTTGAAAGTTAATTTCAGGATTAGTAGTTGGAAAATATTTCTCTTAAAACATTCACAGTAAGCATTTTATAAAGTCTAAAAACAATTAACTTTTTATTTTATGTTAATGTAATCTCTTAACAAGGACCTTACGGTATCTACACAGTGAAAAATATTTACTGAACCGTTTCCCATAAGATAAATGTAAATTTTTATGTCAAACTAACTCTTGCTTTCATTTTGCCTACTTGAATGGGGTGATATGAACTTACATTTATTAATTTCAGTTAAGCTAATTTTGAGAAAAAACTTCTTAAGAAAATTCCCATAAGCCAAAGTGTGAATTTTCACAAATTCATTTTTACAAATCAATTAAATTTTTCTTGGAAATTTCATCTAAAAACTAGAGTCAATCTGAAGAAAATTTTAACCGGACCGTTTTCTTACTTAGCAGAAACTCATCTTTAAAAAATCTATTGTTGACTTTAGGCTCAATTTGAAATTGGGAAATAATTTGTTTTGTAAGAAAACCAGACTGAAGACGAAAACGATAAACAGGAACGAGAGGATGTTGGTCACTTTTATGCTCTACTCCTTCTCCATTTATTTTTCTGTGCGAGACAGATGGCTTGTGTAAAAGCTCACAAATAAATGTGTCGTCCTTGAGGACAAACCGCCATAAAAATTGATTTAGCAGGGCGAAGAGGCGCTTAGAGGCGCTTGGCGTAGTGCGGTGTTATTTAATTTCGCGCTTAGAGTTGGTCCATCCATCTATCTGTTGTTGCAGGCCCGAAACAGAGGCGGACTTTTCAATGAGTGATGGAGCTTTTGCGGAACTCGTTTTTGTTCGAGAGGGGCCAGCTGAGAGGGAGGTCATATAAATTTTTGTCGAACGCTCGCTCTGCAGAAAGCGAGAGCTTGCCAAAATTCGCTCTCGTCGGCCCTCCCAATATTGTGTGCGTCTCCGCGAGTAAATTCGGCTCTTTTTATCTGGCCCGGCATCTCTGGAGGAAAGATAGCTTTTTGCATGAGTATTGGAGAGATTGGTGCCGCAGAGTAATCTCGTTTAGCGCAAAATGTATTCAAATTCGGGCCCTCGCCTCCTGCGGCGCTGGCCCGGCCGGCGGCGACGGCGACCATGAACGCGAATAAACAACTCTCTGATGCGATTTCTCCATAAAAATAATTCGGCCCTTTGCCACATCCGGCGCCAGAGAATACCACATCGTGTGCTAACAGTTTGCCGCCCTTTTCTTAACTCTCACGCACAAACTACCCCCTGCAGGAATATTATATGCGGCGTTGAATTTTACTGCCCGCAAAATGTTGATTCCAATTTATCCCCTCTCCACACTGCGCCTCATTAGCATACATGGGTTTGCAAGATACCCTCTTCAGAAATACTAATATAATTAAGCGTACTTAAATCTCTTATCTTACAATCCCCTAAAGTACCAAACACATTTATGGAGAATTCAGTTTTTCAAAATTTTAAATCGACTGTTGCTTGAAATAAGCTCTCGTGCTTGTAATTAAAAAAAATAGTCATTTCTTATGGTACAAAACTTTTAATTTCGAAATAACCTTTTTTAATAAAGTAAATTCTATTATTCAATGACACTGACCAAATTACTAAATTGGAATTAATTCTTATAGCAATCATGTGATTAAATTTTTTATTTCCCGAAATATTTTATATCCTCTTTGTTATACTCTGTTAATATTATTGCTGAGTTTGTAGTCTGTTCTGAAAAGTTTCAGTTGTGAACACGACTCGGAAAAATTCACTATTCAGCGAAAATTACGAAAAGTCCATCAAAAAGCGGCGGGTGCTCCGCGAGTGTGACGTTTTCAGCCTCCCATGAGTGATGTGAGCGAATTTAAAAATATTCCGCACATTCCGCGCACAGAGTCGGGGCAAAACGCTGAGTTGCCCCAAATAAATGTTGAGCAACGCTTTTACATATTTTTTTGCTTTTCCCTACATTTGGCGGGAATTTCGGGCGCGTGTTTTAGAGAGCGGCAGATATTCGCTTAATTAATCAGAGCTCGGAAAGCTTTGTGCGCGCTGGCTAATGGTCGGAGCACTATCGCGGTTACGTCAGCTTTACTGTCCTTTTTGCACGCCCTATTTTTATATCCCAGCCTGTGTGTAATTATAATGTGGGTCGGTCGGTCGGTCGCGCAAAGGAGGGCGCATTACCAACTTCATTATTCAACCGGCGCTAATCACCACTAACTCTAATTGTAAGGCCTCCCTGCTGGGCCCCAAATTGTCCAATTTCAGCCAACTTTCGGGATTTTTCAGGTAATTAAATTTGAAGGAACTTTGGAAATCTGAGCCTTTAGCCAAGTTTGATCCTAACAATATTTGCAATAAGCCGATTCTGTAAACTTATTTAGGTAAAAGCTTTGTTTAGAAGCCTGGTTTTTTCATGGAGGGCAAGAGAATTAGCATTTAAACGCTTTCACTTCATTTGATCTTTTGATTAATTTGATGAATTTTGGTACTGATAAAAAAATTGAAAATTTTTTGATTGTATTAAATTTGACTGGCCTTATTTCGCCCAGTTTAATCAAGTGTATTTTACAAACGCAATCAATTTTCATGGCAAAGCGACGGGAGAAGGAAGAAGAGTGCTTCGGGAAGTGTAGAGAGGCAGCAGCGGAATTAATATCCAGGCTCTCTGGCAATAAGCGAAGGTGGCAAAAAACGCTCCGGCGCTATCTTATTAAAAATTCTGCCGCACTATCAGCGGGGAGGAGAGCGGCCAGGGGTGGTTCTTTGCTTTCACCCCGACAATGTTATCGCAGTTTCAGCCACAATAATTCAGACGCGCGTCTCTCTCACATAATATTGCTGTTGCCATTATTGTGTTTCTCATCATGGAGCGTCGTTTGGCGCGTCTCCCCTTAATGGCTGCGCGCCGCTCTTGCATGCTAATAATCTCGCTAATGATACAAATCGACGTGCGCCACCAACCAAATCCCTATTCTGCAAGAAAACGGACAGGAATCCGCACGAGTAGTTTTATTTTGGCATGTTTTTTTGGTTTGTTCACCCTCGGCGGCACACGTCGGCTTTTTTTGCGTCTGTCTATTTTGCGTCTGCCACATCAGCCAAGTTAAAATGTGGACAATAAGCGTCAGATTATGTTTTGTGCTGTCAGATTTGCCCGCTGCTTTTTGCATTCGTTGTGGAAAGGCGGTTGATTCATGGCCGGCGGTGCGGAGAAGGCGAAAGATCGCTTTTTCCTCGCAACATATGACAGTAATCCATTGGCAAGATTATAATCCGAAAGATGCCCGGCGGAAATCGGCTCCGTGAAAAATGGTCGCGTAAATACTTGTTCGTTCTGCGACGAGCCGCTTACTTGTCTGCCTGACCAGACGCAATTTGTAACACAAAAAATTGGCAATCGCACGATCTGCGGACATGGTTCGCCTGCTAAAAAATACCATCGTTTTCAAGAAAATTTACTTCTGTATAAAATTGCATAAAGTGAAATTCACGTCAATCACGTCTATTTGGATTGTTTATAAGATGTAAAATAGGACAACATGTAGCAAAGCTCAAAGCTAATCGAAATATTGTAAACAAATTTAGGAGAAAATGTCAAATCTGCTGAATAATATTCAATTTCTTATTGGAACTGTCTTAAAAATGATTAAAAAACAGTTTAGCCCAATAATTTTTAAAACACAACCACCAGATAAAGTTGAGTGATTTGTGAAAATATCAGATCACTACTTCAGGAAAAAATATTATGTGATAGAAATAAAAACAATTTTTTTAGAGTGTATTAAATTACATAATAATTAAAAAAAATCCTGAAAAGATCATTTTAAAAATGAAATCCGTCTTTCTTTTTCACCCTCAGCCTGATCGAGTTGTAAAATTTCAAATTTGAATTGAAGGTAAACCAATTTGCTGAAAAATAAAACGTTTCCCATACTCAATAAACGTCATCCTTATTTTCCAATAAGTAGAAAATGACTTTGGCTGCCGAAGGGAAGCCGCATTAGCAATCATAAAGTCGTCAGACTATCGTGAACAGGGGCGGTAAATCTCTCTCGACTTGACCCACACAAGTCAAGTGCGGTGCGTGATTCATGTCAGAGCCATTCTTCCACATCCGCGCGAAAATTTGAGCAATTTCGAGTGGGCAAAACAGGCGGAAGGAGAGCGTTATTGACGCGCTCTCTCCGCCCGGCAGTGAGGCAAAGATGGATCGCGCACCATATTTTCCTACAGAAAAATTGGAGCGCATGAAAAGCAGAGCCAGAGCAGCCAGCGCAAGACACACTCTTAACTTTTTGAGCAGATGAAAGAGGAAATCGAGGCGATGATATACGAGGCGCCAACTGCTATATGTACTACAAAAGTACAGTCGGAGCGGTCGCTCTTTTTCTTTCCTTCGTGTGTGTTTTCGCGTATGAATATTCAGAGAGCCCGGGCCATAATTCACACACTCGCTCTCACGGAGAGGGCGAAACTTCACAGCTCGCAAAACGCCGCCGCCGCCACCGACCTGCACTTGACCTGATTGGCCTTTTTCAGCCTCGCGGGTCTTCAACAGTGAAAAAAAACATGTTAGTGTGGCAACGTGAGACTGCGTGAAATCAAGTAATGATATTTAAGTGATATAATTTAATTTCAATTTGCTATGTCAAGTTAACTGAATTACATTAATTTTCATTGACACAAATATCTTGGCGATCATTTAGCAGCATACGACATAAAACATAATTTAAGTGATGAATTCTAGTAAATATGTATTACAATCAATTTCAATTTTAAATAAATAATGCCAAAACGCTAATTAAACTGTAAATTAAAATAAAATAAATTAAAATATAAAAAAATATTTTTTTATTCAAATTCAACAACACCGCAAAAAGATATTTTATTTATAAAATTTATAACGCTATAATT